AACAAAACAAAAATATAATAATTACACATAAACGCACACACACTTTGGGACACAGGGCTGGGATGAGATCACCAAGGATGTAAACGAGAAGATCTGGAACGAGAAGAAGGAACAATACACCGGCCGCCAAAAATGTATGTACTCCAATTGCCTAGCTTCATACCTGGCACTGTACTATAGTCTGGTAGCTCATCATGGTACTGGTGGTTACTTAAATTGTAACTGTGACCGTACCGCAGGGAAATCAACAGGGGGCGACAACAGCAAAACACTATTATTTAACAGTCATCATTTTGTTCATTGTCGTGCCATGTTTTCCATGTCCAAATTGTGATCTATGAATGTCTTTTACAAACCTTATGTTTTGGTATGCTAATGTTGAACTTCTCTGCCCGATCCAATATAGCCAAACTGCCAAAGTGGTTCGGAGAACGACCAGGCAAGAAGGCCGGTGAGCCCGAGACACCCGAGGGCGAGGAGGATGCCAAGGCCGATGAGGACATCGTCGAAGATGAAGATGAGGTCGAGGAGGAGGTCGTCGAGGAGGAAGACGAGGAGGCCGAGGAAGATGAGGAAGAAGAGGAGGAGGAAGAGGAGGAAGAGGAAGAGGAGGAAGAAGAAGAAGAGGAAGAAGAGGAGGAAGAAGAATAAATAAATAAATAAATTTTTTCGTAAAACTACATTTAAACAAAACCAAACAAGAAAAACCAAAGCCAACAATTTTAATAAAAGTAAAAGAATGAACTAAATAGTTATTATTAGCTTATTCAAAATACTCAAGAAGAAGCAAACATGAAAACTACCACATTTTTTTATTGAACAAGAAATGTACATTTCTTCCAAATAAAACATCAACAACACCAATTGAAAAAACCTAAATTACAAAACAACAACAACAAAAAACAAGAAATTAAAGTGTTATACCATCATATCTATGCACAATTTATTTTGTTTGTGTGTGTGTATGCTGTAACACTAGTGCGGGTCGAAAATAGATGATCTTCAGTTAATCTCTGGGCTGCCTCTACAGATATTGGGTTATCTTTTTGGCAAAAAGTAAAGCACCGACCATGATTGCAATATATTTCTTTGTCGCTTGGATCGAACCCGTCAGCAATCCCGCATTAACTTCGTTATTCAGAAGCCTGATGGACCAGCTCTCAAAAGCTGTTGACTCCATGTATGCGAGAAGGTTTGCTTTATCGCACAGTATGGGCTGTGCTTATACTTTGCTCGGATATATTCAGTTAAAACTAGCTTGATTAGTTTACAGTAATTTTAAAATTACACTCAATACATGAAGTTCTTATGTAGTCGGTCGGAGAGTTGCGGTCCGTACGAATCAAAAATTGTTTAAATTTCAGAAATCTGACCATAACTTATATCGCATAGCAGTGACAGGCTTGTGGCCCTTCTCATTTTTGTGTACATTTATTAGTTTGGGCCGATAATCGTGATCTCTATGAGTTCAATAGGCTTTACCATTCAAACATCTAAATAGATATATTTAAATTTTGAAATCAAAATTGTCTTTTTAGAATCCATCTAATTCTTACAAGAATTTAGATGCAATTCTTGTCAAAATTTATAGATTGCCAATCGAGAGCTGCAATAAGAGCTCACAAAGCATTGATTTCAGAATGTGATACAATTTTACAAGAACCTGTGTTGTAACCACTTTTCGATTTTGCTGACTCTACTTAACAGCCACGCCAGCTTAAAAAAAAACACATAGTTCCCTCGGTAGGGTTCGAACTCCCAACAGATCGCGCTATTTGTCGCCTTCCTACCCAACAGCCACGCCAATTATTCTTAATGAGTTAAAAACGAATGGAAAGAACAGCACAGAAAACAATACAATCGCAACTGCAATGCTGTTGATAGAATTCGAAGCAGATGCGCATAAATGTGTGTGCGTACATGTATACAGAAATTCTTGGAATTTGCGCTAGCTGCCGCAATCACGTGGGCAACCAATACACATTTTCTTTTATGTTTCTTGAACGATCTTGATGAAATTTTTAGCAGTACGTCTTATAGTACTATAAAATATTCGTGTATTCTCAGTCATTGTGGCTTTAAACTGAAAGATACTTGATATATATATATACATATATATATATACTATTCTAGAAGTTACATATCAATTAGGTGACTCCTGCTCTTGCTAAGAAAACAGGATTTCGATATCGATTTTAACCGAGTGCTTGGAAGCGGAGCAAGTTACCTACAGCTAAAATTTCAATGCTCTAGCTTTAATAGGTTCTGAGATCCTAGCGTTCATACGGACGGACAGATGGACGGATAGGCTGTTGATGCTGATCAAGAATATATATCCTTTACGGGGTTACATACATTTGCAAGAAAAACATACCCTTTATAACAATTTTCAATGGGTTCTGGGTATAAAAATTAAATTTTTAAATGCCAATCAAGAGTTGTGATCCGTACAAGTACTGAAACTATGCCATACGAAAATCTGACAATTATTGCAGGATATATTTAAATTTGAAAGCTACACATTAGGATTTCAGAATCCAATTTTTGTCGTTTTTCTTAAATTAGTTCAAAATTTTATTTTGAATTTTTGAATACCAATCGAATATCGAAGTTCGCACGAACATAAAAAAATATATCTTTCAAACAGTAAAGAATTTCTTAATGCCAATAAATATCCTGTATATATTAATCTTGTCAGTATTTGGGCAATTTAAATGATGCGAAATTGACGTGCATTCATTTTGGATTGTAACTTTTATTTAATTTATTTATAATATTTTTTAATTTTTAGAATATATTTAATATATTTTTAATTTGTGTTTGTTTTTTTATCGTCATTAATAAATATTGTACAATTTGCTTAAGTTTATATTATTTTGCAATGTGTGTATATTTGTTTATTGAAAGACACGATACTCTGATTTGATGACAGTTCTCTGGCATTGTTAATTAGTATGCATTCATTCGTTTCGTTGGATCTTGCAGCGTGTGCACGCAAACAGCTTAGATGTAATTTTGGTAAACACATTATAAATTTGCTAAACATTCATTTGTATGTATCTATGTATGTATTTTGTTTAAGTATCTTTGAGCTTTGATTGTCTGTCAGCTGCAAGCACGCTGCTCCTCCCTCCGCACACACTGTTGCAAGATGCGCATATTATAATGACATTCACTTATATACAAGTACAGACATAGTCGTATTTATCTTATGCTAGGGTCTATTTCATATGTGCAGCGACTGCCAATTAATAATGTTAGGGTAAATATTTAAAACATAATTTTCCCAAAAAGCTAATAAAAATAGATTACATTCACATTCACAATTAGTTTACATACATACACTAAATATATATTTGAATAGTACTTATAAACTTTGCTAAACTCTTAAAGCATACGTATCCATATGCGTGTATGCCACGAGAGTGAGGCAGACAGCGATATTTGACAATAGGTTAAGTATATGTTGTAAAAAAATTCTGCTGTACTCTTAAATTTTTATTTTTTTTTTTTGGTATGTGTTTTGCAAATTTTTTATTCATTTATTGTCAGCAATTATTTTTTTTTCTTTTTTAACAATGCGCAAAAACAATAAAAAAAAAAAAACAAAATAAAAAAGTTCGGACTAAAGCTAACAGTAAGTACATGCTTTCTATCCCTTTCACGCACACACACTCATACACCACGCACACGCGTGGGGACGGACAGTAGTGCAATAAATGTGAGCTTGTGTGTGTATGTACGCGCTACACTGCCTGTTAAAATAAAACATTCGCCAAATATTATTGTTATATAACGTAAGCCTTATAACATCAACAGCTCTTAGATTTTAAGCCTAGGCGCGTTATTTAGTCCTGTTTTATACTACTTATACGAGCTCATTTTATATGTCACACATATACACGCACATAAGTTTTAAACTATTACACAACTTTAATTAACATTAGACATTTATATGTATGTATATAAGTTTGTATGTGTATACATAACACATATACATATGTGTATATTTATATAGATCTATACGTATAACATATATATATGTGTATATGTTTATACATTCAGTCAATTTATTGCAACAAAATGGTTTACAAAAAAAAATTCTACGCTATGCTTTAACATTTTCAAGATAAACTTTTATTTATAATTTAGTATAAACCCATACACGAACGTCTGTAAATGTGTTTGAAATATCGATATTAAAAGCTCTTTAAGTTTTAGTTTCCTTTTTTTTTGTAAGTTTTATCAACATTATAAACATGTCGTTAGTTTTAAAACGTGTTCTAAAAAAAGCTGAGCTTGTGTATATGAAGAAAATTTATATAAAAAAAAAAAACACTTTTTTAATATACTTTGAGCACTTAGTTGTGAGTCCCAGCTCTGAAGGGTGAGACATGTTAATAGCTTGAGATTCAGAATTTGATGAAGCACTCAAACCCGAGTTGAGTAAGATGTGTAAAAAGATTCTCATAATTATATTAAAAACCAGAGCTTGTATTTTCTGCATACTGTACAAAATTAAATTACGCTTATGACTTACAATATGAAAAAAAAAAAAAAAAAATAGGAGCATCAAACGATATTAAATGGACACAAGTCCCGAAAAACGTTTATAAAAACCTTTCAAAATGGCCAAAGGCTATATAAAAATTAAATATGTATATATATATATATGTAAATGTACAATTTACTCGTTATAACAATAGTGTGGGGATAGTACTTAAGAGGAGCTTAGCAGTGAGCGCCCTGCAACAATTTTTATCTTTATTAATTATTATGTTCTTTTTTGGTGGTATATGCTAATCATCTTTAACTTATGTGTACATCAATAATATATGTATATGTATAAATGTATGTGTATATTGTGTATTGTATGCGGCATTGCAATTGTGTCTTTTCCTTTTCGTTTTTGCTTTTTTTTTAATAATTTCATCTGACAACACACACAACAGTTGAAAGCAAATATATATATATATATATAGCACATATATAACAAATGCATATGCGTATATATAACTTTATATATGAACATACATACATCTACGTATTTATATGGAAATGATGCACATACATGTGCTTACACTCTTGATAATACAATTTGAAATTGGTTTGCTAACATTTGATGGTTGTCTGTTGTTGTTGTTGCTGTCATTTTGCCGTGTGTCGTCTCAATGTTTGCCGCGCGGTAATCTTATGGGTATATGCGGATATCATGTGTCTTCCAGTGCACCGACATATTGCTTGCCATTGTTGTTGTTGTTGTTGTTGTTATTGTTGTTGCTGTTGTAGTTTGACGGCAGCTGCTTTATCGTGATGACATCCTTTGGCTTTTGTTTTTGTTGTTGATGCCGCTGCTGCAGCAGCTGTGACTCTTCCTGCTCCTGCTCCTGATCAACCTGCTGATGATGACGCTGCTGCTGCTGTTGTTGCTCTGGTATTATTTTATTGATATTTAACATGTTATTGTTGTTGACATTACTGTGGCTATTGTTGTTCTCAATGGTATTATCCTCATTATTATTATTATTGTTTATATTGTTGTTGTTGTTGTTGTTGTTGTGGATGTTGATGTTGTTATCATCTGATTTGGGTTCCATCATCAGGACTTGCTTTGCTTTACTTTCCCATAACATTCGGTTGGCTTTTAGCTACATGGAAAACATTACATAAAATATAAACACGAATGAGTTATATAGACAAATACTGTAGGTGCGCATATTTTAGCCAACATTGTTATACTTGATATCATAAAAATACATCCTCTATATGCGCATGCATAATTCGAACGTTTGCAAAATAGAAGCTGTTGCTTATATTATTTATAAGCTGTCATTTGTTGTTTGTTGCTGATGTTATCGTTCAGGTTGTTGTTGCTGTCGTTGTTGTTGTGCTGTGCACATTAACCGATGCATTGTAATGCCAAAGCCCGCTTAGCCCCACAACAAACACTCACTCCGCAGCCGCAACACGTATGCAAATAGCTGGCACATTGAGTGCAAATGCGACGCCTAAATTGCTAAAATTTTGGCATAATTATGTATACGCTTAGTGCGAGGCGCGGCAACATGAAATGATTATACAACTTGCAACATCTCGAAAATCACGACGAGTTCCGACTTTGATATTATAATTTGGCATAGAAATCTAGTGCCAGATGACGGCAGGTCGTTTCCCCAAAAGCGTATGCCCTTAAAGCCTCATTAAACAAATGCTTATCCACATCGAAAATACCATTTATACAGTTCCAAATGTTAATTGGGCATGACTAGCACGTTCAGACTTTGACGCTCTGAATCATTGCTTTCATTAAATATGCTAGTTTAATTAATTTGTAATTTAATTTTTGACTTTTGCACGAAATTAATATGCCAACAACTTTGATAACATTGCCAGCAAATCCTCCCATTCACTCATGCGTGGCGGCAAAAGGCAACTTATTTCTGATATTTGCAATTAACATAAATTACGCGCATAAAATATAATTGGTGCCCTCTCAATTGATTATAATTGCAGTTGACGCCGCAACATATCGACAAATCGACAAACTGGCATGTGGGTGTCGGTGTGAGTGGTGTGTGTGTGGATGTGTATGTGTGTGGTTGGCACACCAGTCAAATAGCTTAAGTGGGGTGGTGGCATGCAATCCAGGACTTTTTGTGCTTGGTTTTCTGTTGCTGGCATTTCAATTGATAGCAAATGTGTATGCACATATTCATATATACATATGTATACATATGCATATACAGGTATGTATGTACAGGTATATGTCTGTTGCTTAAATTGCCATTTATGGCGCGCTGCCGTACATGCAACCACCACCGATTTTAACTGTAAAATACAGAAATTGGAGTTGTGACAGTCGAGCTGCCACATGACAGCATCGAAAAAATCAAAGCTTCAGTCACATGGATTCGAACCGCGAGCTACACCGCCTGCAACACCTGAAACACCTGCAGCTGGCAGCCAACCAACCGTCCGACCGTAAGAGGCAACTCATGCAGCAGCAGCAGCAGCAGCTGTTTGTCAGTTGCTTGCAAATTTGTAATTTATGAGCAGTCCTCGAGCGAATGTCGACCGGTTGCCAGTTGTCAAGCCAGCAATGGTGTCGGAGTCGCAATCAAGCGGCCTGCAAAAGGATGCGGCATCCACAGTACACCCCACAAAACTTGACTCGACTCGACACGACTGAGCGCTGAGCTCTAATTAATTAGCCGCTAATTAAACGCGCCCGTGGCGTAAGCTGCTGCGCGGTACTCCACTTAACAGGATGTGCAATGCGCGGCAGTTATTAGTTCTAGCTGCCTGCTGCCTGCTGTCTGCTGCCTGTTGCCACACACTCACAGAGCCGGGCGGCAGCAGTTGCATGTAATATATTATTTGGCTCATAATGAAAAGCCCTTCTCATAGCCTCTAAACTCAGCAACCACTTTATAAGCCCTGCAACTAAGTATGTAGTATGCTGCTCATGTGCATATTAATATACTTTATATTATAAGCTATATTTATATATACCATATATACATAGTTGTGGTTATATATTTGTTTTATGAACAGCTGCAGCATTCAGTCTACCAAATTAGCTACATTCAAAAAAAAATAAAAAAAAATGAAATAAAAATGCAAAACACTTTGCAACAGGCGGCAAATGAATGCAAACAATCTGAACTATGTTTGTTTATGGCATATATGCTGACTAAACGTGCCCTAAAGTTATGTATCTGAAAATCAATGGGTAGCCGAACGTCATTATTATCATGGTTATCGATGTGACTGTGCACTGGCTGCGTGCGTGCGTGTGTGTCTGCATGTGTGTGTGTGTGCCCCCAGGAAGCAGAGCTTCAAAAACAACTGCAACAGCAATGGCGACAATAGCAGCAACGCATGTTAAAGTGGCTGGAATAAATAAAAATTCAAAAAAAAAAAAAGGGAAAAAAAGAAATAATAATAATAACACAAGTGCAAAAAGGCGAGTGCAAGAAACAAACAAACAAACAATGAAACGAACAAAACACAAATATACAAAATCAAGTGTAACAAGTACAAATGCACGCATCGCGTTGACCAGACTGGCAGATACCGTGCACCCAGCTACAAAGTGCGCTTTATGTTGAAATTAATGATGCGGAACACTGGAGTCGAGCTTAATATATCCTGCATCCGGGACTGGAGATAAAGCTATATGCTCGATATTTAAGTCTTTTACATTATGCAATAATTGAGGCAAGTGTTTATTAATATTAATAGTACTCGATGAAAAAGAAACAAATTGAATTGCATGCCGGATAAGTGCACATTAAAAAATAAAATAATTAGTAAGCGCGCACAATGAAAATTAAACTTTATTTTAAGCTCTTACTGTCTCTCAAGATCCGACAGACAAAGGGTTAGTTAGGCGCAGCATTCGCAGCTGAACAAGAACATGCTTGAGCTTTATATACACTTCTCTTTAAGCTACCCGCTTTAGCTTTTTGTATGGTTACAGAGTATTTTGCAAAAGAAAAGGAAAAAAAAAATAAATAAAATGGTATCTGCGAATATGGCCAACAATGCTGAAATGGTTGCCACAAAGCAAAAGTGCAAAATATGGCAATGACAGAAGCCAACAGGAACGACAACGACGCCAACTACAACTGTGGCAGCAGAGGCGAGCACACAAAAAGGACAATGAAGATGGCAACAGAGAATGTTAACTGGGACGACAACAAAAAGGATGGCCGCCATGTTGAATGCTTTGGGGGATATCCGGTTCGGGCATGGCTTATGGGAAATGAAGGTATAAAGGGTATGGGCACGGGAATGGAAATGGAATTGGGTAATGGCTGATGTTGAAGCCTTTGTGTGTGCATTGCGCCTGACCGATTGACTAAACGTCAGTCCAACTGACGCCCTGTCTGTCTGTTGGGCCATCTGCTCGCTTGGCTGTCTGCCTGTCTGATTGTTTGTTGCACATACCTTAGATGTATTGTCCTGCACCCATGCATCTGGCTTACCGTAGTCTGGCGGATTCGCATACGGATCGTAACCGAGCACGGAGAGCATGGGCGCAATGTCAGCCATGTCGCGCACCACATCGCCGGGTATATGGCCCACCCACTTGGACAGCGCCTCAAGATTGACCGGCTTGATGACCTGGTCCGATGACCGCTCCACTCTGCGTACACGAACGCGGTGGCGGGAGCAAAATGAAAAAAGGGCACAGTGCAATTAGTTGATATTGCAAGCCAGCTGCTGCATGGCATTACTCACTTGGACAGCGGCACACCGTTGGGTTTATTGATAAACTGCTCATGATGCAGCACCGCCTCGTTCCATGGCACATCCAAGAACTTTAAGATATTTCGCATCCACTCCTCCGGATGCAGCACCAGCTGCTCATAGTAAACCTGTAAAACAAATAATATATAAATTTGAGTCATAATAAATTATCTAATAAAATACTTAGTATTAAAAGTAATGCATACTTAATTGTAATTATGACCACTTATATAATAACCGAGCAGACATCGATTGCAATTTAGAAAAAAAAAGCAAATGAAACGGAATTATATAAAAAATAACTGACCTCACCATGCGCATTATATCTATATCGCGTAATATCTATTACTCTACATCATCAGCAATGATACCCAACCGACTTTTCTTGTGTTATTTAATAAGCTAAGTAAGAATTGTGCTTATGTAATTGTGTATCCACTTATATAATGGTTTAGGTAATTGAATAAGGAAATATGAATTTATCTGAGCACGTTGCCCAGCCATGTGCCATGTGTCCAGTTGGTACCTGGCAGACGCTACTTACCATCATGCAGCGATCCTTGCCAATGTCGCGGCACTGTTCGTGCATCAGTTCGATGGCGTGGTTCCACTTCTCCATGCATTGTCGGTAGCTGGCCAAATCGAAGCCGGTGATTGTCACCTTGCGCGATATAATTGAATGAACTGTCGCCCGTCCGTCCCGCACCATGAATAGAAACTTCGCCTGCGAATATGAAACAACAGTGCATAAGTGTGCGTGCAAAAAAAGTACATATACATCGGGTTACATATGCATGCATATACATGCGGATGTATGTACACATAAATTTGTGCGTGTGTGTGTGTGTGTTTGGCTTACATTGGGAAATAGCTCGATTACATAGGAGCCCATTTTGAGAGTCAGCGGATCCTTGTTACATAAGCGCGGCGCCGGTTCGCCGTGTTGCGCAATGATTTCCAAGCAGAACTGGGCTATTGCGCTGTTCATGACCTCCTTGGTGATGCCTGCCTCCTGCAGGCGCAGCGACTCCTTTTCGGACTTTAGCCAGTGCGAGCGTAGCTGCAAAATGCGCGGAATGACGCGCGTCTCCTGCCCGCAGCTAAATGGATGAGACATACAAAAGCGAATAAGCAAGTGCACAGCATAGCCCGGAAATGCGAAGAGTGAAGGGAAGGTAAATTGTGAGCAGTGAGCATAGGGAGGAAATGGCACGAGAATGGGAAGTCATGTTACAAAACAGCGAAACAACAATGACGTTTGATATCACATAGTTGGCCAACAGCCGAGCCCAGTCGAGTCCCCACCCGCATCCCGTAGTCCTTAGCCCGCATTCTGCAGCCCCGCTGCCTGCTGCAGCTTTGGGCCTCTTGCTAATCCAATCGACTAACTGAAAGCGGATGCTCGACTCCAGCACTTGTTCACATTGACAAGTAAAATCGCAAAATTGGCTGTAGCTTGCAGCATCTGCCGTTAAAAATCATCGGACCTTAGGGTTTTTAATCAGGGCATATAGCAACATGCCTTACAGTTGATTTCCTTTGCAACCTCATGTAATTTGCAAATGAACAGCATTGAACCAGCAATTGAGATTCGCTTGAACTGCGATTTACGAATAACTTGACCCCATGTCTGGCTCAAAATGGCTGGAACATTGCGGAGCATTCATCAGTTCAAATTTGATTAATGGAAATTAATATGACTGCAGCCAGCAGAAGGCTTAATTCATGCCGTAGCAGCTTATGCTCAAGTATTTTAATTGCATTCTATGGGCGGCAATAATTGTGGAGTCTTGTGGGAAACGATTCTGGCGGCATGCATGAATATTTGATATACACGAATGTGTCTGGAAAACGGTTTAAGCAATCAAGGCAAATTTAATTTAATAAATGCCTGCTTGTCCATCAATAAATAAAAATAAAAAAAAAAATTTTCCCCCACCGTGTCGGTGATTTCCCAATAATTTTCTCTTTGTCCTATCCACTTAACACTCTTTATCTAACTTACATTGCTTTACTTTATTAACAATTTTCTTACTTTCTTTTTTCCTATTTATTGTATTTTCTTTATTAATTTAGCAAATTAAGATTATTTTTAATTTCACTTGAGATCACTTTTTTCCTACTTACAACCTTCTGCTTAGATGTAGGCTCTAATAGCGTCACTGACAAAATTAGCTGTGAAAAGGGGCACAGCTGGCCGGACTGGCAAATAAAACACCTCCATCGGTCGGTGATGCTATTTAGAAAATTGTATCCTTTAACTAGGCTATTAGAATATACTTATATTGTACAACCTTTTGAATAATGAGGAAGACACTCGTTTTGTCGACCATTAATAAATAAATAAATAAATAAATAAATTAGCATAGCATACATCACAGGGCGCCTTGCCAAGCCTTGACGGAATATGAAATAAAATATATATACATATATATTTATATATATGTATATGAATACCATTGCTGCAAGCCAGCAACTGCTCGGAATTCAATTGTTTATTAACCATAAGCTGTCCCTCAACCGCACCACATTTATCAACAGGTTGTAGCCCATTTCGAGTGAACAAATATAGGTAATACATATATTAAATTAAATTGCGCTATTTAAGATATCCAAGGATATCCAATACTCATAGATAGATGTTTTCAAGCTGACTCGTAAATTTGTATCGCTGTGTTTCATCAAAATTAAGTTGACGTGTTTTTCTTAGGCTATGCGAAAGGAAGATTCTGTTATCTGTCGCAAATTTGGCTTGTAAGCTCTGCTCGAATATCGCAGGTAGATCAAATTTGTTTTAGCTCCAAATTAATGGGCATCTGCGTACAGGATACTCGCCAAGTCTGGCTCTGTCGACTACAGCATTCTTACATATATTTTAAATGATTTTATTGCTTTGCGGAATCCATTTGCTCGCTATTCACTGAGGGGCATTCGCAACCCTCTCTGGAAATTTCTCAACTAACATAGTTTTTCGAGGGCATGAGTCACATAGTATCCCCACATTTTTGCCTGACTAACTCGAGCTAGACAAAGGCAGCAAAGCTCTACAAATATATATAATCTGGGAGCAATTACATGCGCGTGGCTTATATGCAAATCGGACGAACAAAAGCTAACGAGGGCAGTGTAAAAACAGTGGACCCATCTCTACAGACATAGATTTAACACACACACACACACACATATATATATATATATATATACACATAGATGCTCGTATCTGTATCCGTACTGCCAGCTGTATCTGTATCTGAGTTGGTACAAGTTTAACTTAATGCGGACCTGCCTCTTGCGGGGCGGAAGTAAGTTTTTAAATAGCGGAAATTGTGCTGTGCAGCCATCAGTAAAAGTGGCGCTGACTGCTGTCAGCAGCCAGGAGCCACGAGCTACGTACGAGTCAGAAGTCAGGACTCGGCGGGGAGGAGCCAGCGCGTTAAAAAAATAAGGAAGCAAATTGTTAATAAAATAAGGCGAAAGTCGACACCTAACAAGCCCTCCCCCACACAGCCGACTTGTTCTGTGCTGTAGCGGAGTCTCCTTTAATATGCCCCTCTCCACATTTTATTTTGTTGCCGCCCACTCGCATCTATCTGACAAAGGGCACAAAGGACGTCAACAGCAAAAAATTCGTGGCTAATTAGTCATGCGTAACAAAAACTTAATAATCTAATTCATGCTGTGACAGCAACCGCACAGACTAGCCCATAAATCCGACCCAAGTGGACAGAGGGTGCCAACCATCCATCATGTCATATAATAAACAAGCTGCGACTGTACGCTAAGGATTTGCTTTTTTAACACTCTTTCCCCAAAAATAAAGACCCCCCCCCCCCCTGCCCTCTCATGCTATCGATTTACTTTGTAATATTAGAGCAGAATACAAAAGCGCGATGATGCTAAGCCCTTGTCATTTATGTAACTAGGCAAAATATTGTCAAGTCAGGTTTGTCTCATAACTAATACATTCAAATACTAATATAAGGCTTCGTTTAATATATTATATTATAATAATGCAACATTTCTGTAGTTTTTCAATAGTGTCGATGTTTTTAAATGCTCGAACCAAAATCTAGCTTCGTAGATGTAGCTGGAGAAGTTCATGAATAAGTGGATCGCACCGTGAACCGAACCATTGAAAATAGAAGAGAATATGCTGCATGTTGTTGCATGAATATGCTACTTATATATGAGTAAAGAAAACTTTACTTAACTCCAATATTATCAAAAAGGCAATGAAAATGTTTGAATAAAGTTTGGATAATCTGCCAAACTCGACCTGTTGACATCAACTGTGTGCCATCGTAGCCGTTGCTAAACGTTGCGAATGGGGAATCAACCCTAGAAGGGTTGCGTGGTTGGTTGCATAAGTAGTAAGAGTGCGGGGAGGAAGGTGAAAGGACAGACTGTTGCAAACTTACCGCACATCGGGATGAGCATCCAACATGGCGCGCATTAGTGTCGTACCAGATCTGGGCACACCACCTATGAATATTAATGGCATCCCACGGTAGTATGCATAGACCCGATTATTGTTATCTGTGACGTGTTTCTGGGCGTGCGTTGACGTGGGCGTGGCATCAGGAACAAGAAGGTGGCGAAAGCAAGAAAAAAGAAATGTAAAAAATTAAATTAGAGAAAAGTTACAGGCAAAAATTACGTGTCTCCACGATGATAATGATGATAATTATGAGAATGAGCATCTGGCAGCCTGGCTAGTGGATAGAGGGGATGTCGCAAAGGTACCAGAGGCAAGCGGCCCTGCTGCCAACTAAATTTGCGTAGGAACACACACACACACGCACACCCACACACATAAGCATGGATAGAGACAGCTGTGTGTGTGTGTATGGGTAAAAGCAGCCCGTTAACCTTTGGCGCGCCTGTCGCATTAATGTCAATTTAAAGGATTTTCGTGCGTCGTTAAAAATTCTTGAAGCAATGCGTTCAACTCGAGATTCTAAGCCCATAATACGAGCCGCCTTAACCACTGCGACGATAATATGCGTGAAATTATGATAGATATAACAAGGGCATCAAATAATGGCTGTCAGCGACATGCCGAAGATTAAATACATTTGTGGACGACTGATTTGCGATTTGATAGGGCCTACAGATATACATAAAAGGTAGATTGCATTTGCTGAGTTTGGTCAAAGAACATAAAGATATTCTATTAAAAATCTCATTACTCAATTGATTTGGTTCATATACAAACAGCATCAAGTTTATTTGAGATATATAGAAAAATACACGAACATTGATTTCAACCTATTCTTGGTATTATTGGATTGTGGTAGCTATATTATATGGTGGTCCAAACTGCGATATATGAACTAGACGAACCACAGCTTGGATTAAAAGATAAGGCCGAGGGACTTCTTTGCACAGGAACAGACAGACGGACAATACATTTATATATACATCAGATCAGTAGATCAGGAATATATCTATATATGCATATATGCATTGTTGCGTTCCACATTTCCGCATAATGAATAGAGTACCCTTTGTAGGGGTGTAACATTTAGCTGCTGAGAGTTCTCCCAACTGGTCAACAAATGTGGTAAGTCCCACAATTTGGGCCTCTTAGTCAGCATTTTTAATCAATCTGATAAGCCAGAACTCGAGCTGTATGTCTGGACCTTATCGGACGACTGCTTTGATGCGATAAAAATGTGACAGAGCGCAAATAGATTGTGGCCTAATAATGAATTATTGATCTGGGCAATTACAAATTGGGGGCGAACGCAGTTCGCTGGATACATTAAAAGGCTTAAATACTTCAAAAGCAATGTGTGCACTACAGTGCTGCTCAAGTATGACGAACGATGAACAGCAAACGTTGTTGATGATTATAGTATATACTTATAATATAAGTATATCAAACAGTTTGCGGTGCACAACGAACAGTTATTTACGCTTGTTATCTGCTTGGGTTATCTGGTTATCTGTTTGTGAGAATCTAGTGGAAATTGAGTGTGAAAATTGGACGAAAAACAGTTGAATGGAACTTTTGTATTTGCCATACAATTACATTTACTTTTCAAAAGGCTACACATACCAGTTCACTGGCTGGAAGATGGAGGTCCAAGCATAAAACTTATTTTCACAACATATTAATTGAAACGTAAATTCGAGTTCGCAATCGAATAATGGTTGGAAAAGCTATCAGTTTCAGACTAGCACCCTATGTATATATATGTGTGTGTGTGTGTGTGTGCGCGCATATAGAGTGTGTGCTGGCATTCCAGCTGACTAGCTGCAGATTTGAGTGTGGACTTACTACAGTCACCACAAGGAAATCAACCGCAGTGGAAAACGATAGCACCAACAGCAGGAAAAATTGCAGCTCTCGTTGCCATTTGGCCAACTAATGTTTACAAAATGGTGTTCGACCATCCGATAACCAGCAAATCCCCCAATGACTTTGCATGGCTTGCGGTAAGGTCAGCGTGTGCAGTCAACATGAAATTAGTTATCCAGTCCTTTGAGTCTAAAGAGGCGACACATAGATGGTGTCGTTGATGATGTTGTTGTTGCCACATTTGATTTATCATTCACAATCGTCGCCCTGGTCACTGGTCACTGTTGGTTTCTTAATACTACACGCAGTCAAGAGTAAATAAACTTGAGTTTATTTCAAGTCCAAGTGTTTGTTGGGATGAACGTGATATATATATATATAAATATATTTAGTATAGTATAGTGTGCTTACCTCCAAACGGAACATTTGTGAGGGTCCATCGTTTGTGGATTCCACCTTGAATAGACAGGTCGGGCGCAGCTCGGTGAATTTGAATAGGAACATTGTGATGACAATTATGCCAAAGAGCACCCAAAGGGTGACCTTCTTATTGCGATATGGCAGCCGCATATTTCTAGCTGCTTGCGGCCAGCTGAGGTGTGAACTGCTAACTGCTTTTCGATTTCAATCAGCCAAAGTCCGGATCCAGCTGCAGCTTCGGTGCACTCTATTGGAGCCGTCTATTGGTATTGCCTTATTGATTTAAATGACTGACTGACTGCCCGACTGCTCGACTGTTTCGACTGACAGCTGTGTGTCCGCTTCTGGCTGCCGGACGTTACAAGCTTAAATATGTAAATTGGTTTCTTGAGCTGCTGCCGACAGGCGCCTACAAAATTTCGTTTGCTTTCTTCAACAGTTGCTGCTGCTATTTGCACTTGGCTGGCTTTCAGCTGTGCCGGTTAAAGTTGCAGCTGCTTGTTGTGCTTAGTGTTGCTCTTAGTTCTGTTGTTGTTGTTGTTGTTGTTCTTTTATACCACGGCAATGAATGCGTGTTTGGGATTCGCTTTGCTTTTGCTCCTGCTGCAATACCAGCTCCGGGGTTTGCTGCTGTTCTTGCTGCTCCTGCTGTTTATGACGTTGATTGCTTTGCATTTCCTCGCCTTTGTCCCACCGTCTCAGGAACTCTGTGCGGTCAGCCTGACCAGCAGCCAGTCCAACAGAGAGCAGCAACTCACTCTCTGATTTCAATTTTCTACACTCAACTAAAAATTTCTAACAGCTGGCGCTTGGGTTATGTTCATTTCTCTTAATTTTTTTCCTTTCTTTTTTTTTTTTTGTTTTTTGGTTTATATTGTTAACGTTGCTCGGTTTCTCTCAGCTATGCTAACTCTCTGTTTTTATTGTATTTAAACATATTTACTTAGGCAAATTTTGTTTTATATTACCGCCAGTGTGTATGAGTGTGTGTGCGTTTGTGTGTGTCGACATGCGCTTAAGGATCTGTGGATAGAACTTTGCGTTCTCTTTTATTTCTCTAGCTTTTTATTTTCTTGTGTTTTTTTTTGTGTCCCCGGGAAAGGTCCTTGTCAGTGAGCGTGTCTGGAAGTGAAAAACTTCAGTCATAAGCATATTTAAATAGTTTTGAAATTATTTGCAACCGACTTTGTTTGGTGCGCAACGGCTGCCCGCGGCTGGCTAGAGTTCGACTTGGGCTATGCCTTAGGTATTCTGAGTACTCTTCGCTCCTTTGCTGCACTTGACTCGACTCGACTCGACTTGACTCTCGACTGACAGCAGCGACTGACTTCAAGTGACTACGCACCTTTTTGGAACTGCAGCGGCAGCTCGATGACTCGCAGCTACCAACTTCAGTTTCGGTTTTCAGTTTTCAACTTCCAACTGCAATTCCAAATTCAATTGTGATTATGACTCCTCTGCTGGTCTGTGCAGTCTGTTCTGTTGTCGTTGTTGCTGGAGCTGGTGCTGGATTGTGTTTGACTATTTGCTCAGTTGTTCACAAATAACTGCCAGCCCAAAAACTTAATGAGCTGAAATGCCAAATAGACTGGAACCAACGTTAGTGATATGTACACATAATAGCTCCAATTGCCGGTTATTTCCTCCGTCATAGCTGTCAATGAAAGAAGAAGAAGCAGCAGTTACGCACAGAAAATGAACAAACTATTAGAACAATTGCCAATGTGCAAACAATCAAGCAACATATAAACAAAACTACATTGATGACAGAGAACAGATACAAGACACCCATCACAAACAATATGATGGAACTGCAAACAAAGCCAAACAACTTGAAATATTCAAGAATTATATATCAAAGAATACATATGTATACATATAAATAAAGACAGACAGAACATATGTGAGTGTGTGCATGTGTGTAAATAATATGATATATATATTTATTATGTCTGTTGGGTATATTTGATTAGAGACAACTACAAATTCTATCTACATACAGCACAGTACGTTGTATGACATATGAGCGTGACTCGTGGCAAAAATTCCATCCAGCGCTTAAGCTGCTTACTACTTGCCACCAACCCCACTACCCACCCACTTCAACCCCACCTCCACCTATAATGCCAACGCCAACGACAACCCCAATCCGAATCACAATCCCAACGCTGGCAAGTGATAGCAGTTGGCTGCCATTCGAGTGCTCAAGTGTCGACCATATAGTGGCCATATACTAAGTTGAGTGCATGATGTCAGCGCGACATCCGTCAGAGCATCTGCCCTGGGCTCTGGGCGGTTGGGGCGTGCTCCAGTGAAAGGCGGAAATTTACCAGGGCCAACGGCAGCACTCCAAGCTAACCAGATCCAGTGCCACAGCTCAGTTGCAGCTTCAGCTGCATTTTCAGCTGGTGGTTCCAACACCACCTAAGTAGCTCAAGTCAAGAGGCGTAAATGTGCGTCAGATGTGAAGCATTGTTCCTAACCAACAGACAACTAAGCCAACCACCTGCACTTTATCTTATATTTTGCATATTATAATGATATAGTCGAGAGTTCTCAAGGAGCACAAGGACGGCAAGAAAAACCTCGAGCTTGCTCGGAACGTTGCCTGAGACAAGGTTCATTAAAGGAGATTTAAATCATATAACTTATGGCTAAAGATAGAAATATGAAGATATTTGCCTTGGGTATGGGCGAACTTATATACCCAACTTTATGTCTGTAGATATTTTCAGGCTCTGAAGTTCACGTTAAAATATCAAAGTGAGTGTTAATCTTTGTTATCGGCATTTGCACGAATTCAAATAATTTGCATTTTTCTTTTGACCTGAGCTCAATTTACTGCATGCAGCTCCTATCTCCTATCTGTGAGAACCGCAAGCTTAGTCTACTTACTATATTTAATCTTTTAATTAGTATTTAAGTGCTGGCAACTGTGTATTTCGCCGAGGGACTTGCGTAACTTTTATATCTCACACACTTTGTACAACTTTCTCCTGTGGTTTACGAATCACTTTTAATTCCAATCCAGTATTTTTTTTTTCTTTTTTGCAAACTGTTTTTCAAACTAAATGTATTTTGAAAGCATCCAATTTGCTTAGTTTTTTGTTCACCTTATCTGTGAGTCCTTTCTCTATGCTCGGCTACACACACACACACACACACACACACACACACACACACACACACACACACACTAACACACACAGTTTTAGCACGGTTTCCGTCTACTTGTTGGACACAACTGGAAACGGATAAGAACTCCCGGACAAACCTCTAGTATGCGGTGGGCTCTGAGCCGCCCTTTTGATGTTACGAGACTTCAGTTCCGTGTGCGTGTGCGTGTTTGTGTGTACACACGTGACATACTAGACATGACAGAAGGTCCTTGTTCATATACTTTCTCGCCTGTGCTCTACTATGTCTACTATGAAAGTTGCGAAATAAAGAAAAATTGTACCTTAGCCATATTTTGCATAGTAAAACAGGTCTTATATATTTACATGTAAACCGAAAATGCTGCAATAGCTTTGGCGTTATGTTGACCTCTTCGCACCACTCACACCTCTCCCATTTCAGTTTGCTTATGCCACAGTTAGAGCAACGCCCAAAGGGACCGAAAACTTTTTAGAGCAAAGTTACTGGAAATGGCAACGCCCTCCCTCCCACAACCCACTAGACGGCTCTGCCTCTCTTGCCTTTGTGTGCACTTTTGCTCCCAGCGGGCAGGGCAAAATAGCACAAAAAAAAAAAAAAAATAATAATAATAAACCAACAACAAAATATAAGTTGAATTTTTGTTTGAAGAGGTGCCGCCCGGCTTCCTTCTCATGATCATCCAACTACTTTTCTATAGGGAGTGTGCGTATGCGAATGTGTGTGTGTGTGTGTGTGTGTGTTAGTGGGTGAATGGTAAGCACGATGGAACCTTACAAAAGGCAGCTTCATTGTTGTTGTTTCCGCTGCTGCTGTTGTTGTTGTGCATCGCTCATGTTGCTGGCAGTTCGCTCAAGTGTCGGACAAAGTCTTGTAAAAATTAATAAGCGTGTAAATTTTATTGTATTGCCAAACAGTAGCCCACTCTCTTACACACATACACACACACACGCACACCCTTGCCAAGCCACATATGCGACACAATACCACATAATACACACAAACGCACACCCACATCTACATTAAGTTTAGTGCATGTGAAGAGTTTTGCTTTATTTGATGGTTTTTCGTCTAGCACTTCGTTCTATTTTTTTTTTATTTTATTTTTTTTTTTTTGTTATCCCCCAACTTAAGCTTAATGGCATCGCGTTTTGTTTGGCCCTTCGCACAGTGTCCCCAAAAGTGCGAGAATTATGTGCACTGTGAAATAGATAGATTTTAGGGTTCTTAAACAATTGAAATATATCAGCAAAAGTGTTTTAGTTCTGATTCAACAGATATGGATACAAATTTGTTTGCATATCAACTTAATGCAAACTCGGGCCCTTAACTTCGTGCCAAGTGGGTCATCTAGTGTGAAAGAATTTTGAAACAGCCTTATGAGTTGTCCACCTGTTTCGTGATCTAAAATCAGAAACATCGCATAGATGCGCGATATAAGAGCGCAATAAGAAACGAAGGAAGGAAGGAACGATTGTAAGATTGAATTCTCAAGTGGCTTGAACAAACTCTGATATTATTGGGATTATTTTGCTGGTGTTTTCCATGTCTCTCTAACCACTGTGGCGGCAATGGCTGGCGCTAGTTCTCACGCTTGTTGCGCTCGGTGCGTTGACGGGGACGTTTGCGACAGTTTAAGTTGGAAGCTTTTGTTTCAAAAAATCTGCATAAATAATGTTGCGCTACGCTTGAGGGCTGCAGTGCCGGGAAGTGTTGATGATTTGATGGCGAATACGGAATGCTGAGCCGGAACGTAAAGTGCCTTAATGGCAGTCTAAAGACCTTGCTCTAAATTGCAGTTGGAGCGCTTTGAAGGCTTCCAGCGACGCGGCGAAGCATATCGCTGGTGGGCTCTCCGGCATTTTTTCTCTCTCGCTCTCTCTATTTTTTTTTGGTCTACATTTATCTTTCGGTTCCACTTGCTCAGCATCTCCTTCTTATACACCGTGTACCCATTCAAAGTATCTTAGAAAAAGGTTGCCAAGCATTGTGCAAACATAAGTAATGGGCAGAAAAAGCATCATCCTTCTCATATAGGAACAAACAAATAGCTATAGGCTTGAAATTTGATAAATACATTCTCGCAAATCGTAAGCTCATCCAGTTGTTGGATAAACAGATTGCATGATTGGTTTGTAGAAAAAGTAAGTTCAAAAGTAATTTACGCTCTGAGTACAAGGTATCTACTAGTCGGCCACTCTCGACTAGAGAGCACTGTGACTTGTTTTTGGTTAGGAGTGTCTAACTAAACTCGGCTAGCTGGTTAATATTTAGCAACTGGCGCAACGACAGCTCATTTATCAGCACGTCGCTCATATTATAAATTACTTGGACAGTATGCACGACGTGCAGCAGCTGTTGCCTCAGCTGCCTCAGTCCCGGTGCTATCTGGGCTAGCCAGACCTCCGGGGACTGGCCCTTCGATACCCAGTGAAGCGGAGAGAGAGCGCTCCAAGCGCACAGAGCTCGAACCCGTAGAGCGCACTCCACGTTTGCACAGTGAAGCGTGCCGAGTTTTTAAAGTGAATGAGTCGAAAGTTCGAGACAAGCAATGTGTTAATTAAAATTGAACGTTTCGCCGCATCCAACGATGCCACGATGCCGCGACGCCAAGAATAGAAGCAGCAGACACAAGTTAAACTTTAACTAAAATGGTATAATTCAATTGGTTATGTCAACCATGGTTAAAATTGAGGCTTCAGGTTCGATCTTGGATACTAATTGAGCTATCAAATTAGATGGTGCATTGAACTTGAATCAGCAAAGCGAGACCTCACTAGATGCAATGGAAGTAGACGGCGAGCGAAAATGTCTCACTTTATGTTCCCTGTGAGCGGTATAGACCAGTATTACTCAAAGTGGGCCCCCTTGGGGGCGCAAGTTGGAGAGCCTCTGTGCTAGCTTAAGTGCAATTCAAATTAAGCAATAAAAAAAAGTAACCCTATCAAATTCATTATTTGAACAATTTGTATTTGGTAAAGTAAAAAATATCATAGGAATATTACTTAGCATTATATATCATTGAGAAACAAATATATCATTAAGAAATAATAAGTGCAAGGGTCTTATAAGTTCTGTCTTTAGAGTTTGTTTTTTTTTCTCAAGAAACGCTAAAAAAGATTATGCAGTTGAAATATTAATAATGCAAAGGTCTTAAAAGTAATTCATAAAGCCTTTGCCTTTATTAAAGAAACGATAAATAAAGGCAATACCCTATCTTGAGGTATTACCGACCCTCTAAAGCCGGACAAGGTGCTATAACAGGATAATATAGCATGGGCAATAAACCCTTCAGGACTATATTTGGATCAGTTATGGTTTTAACTCTGTATTTTATTTTTGCGATTCATCGATAAATTGACAATTAAAACAAAAAGTAATTAACACTCCGGCAGCAGGCGACGCCTCTGGCAACAGCAACAGCTACCAGACGCCAGGCACCAGCAACGCGTTGGAAATAACATGAAAAACAAATGTTCAAAGTCAATGAACCCCA